TGGAAGATACAGCAAGTGCACCAGGAGATTTCTGGTGTCCGGCATGGGCACCCCACTTTAGAGCTTCCGCAGCATCTCAGGAGCCTGTTGCCCGCACCCCGCCCCGCTGGCTCATGGCGCAGGTGGCCCCCACCACCTGAGACTGGGTTTAGACTACTTCAATGTCTTCCACCAGGAGAGGCGTGGAGAGGGTGGGAGTCCCTTGGTCACCAACCCAAGCCTCTGCCTCCTTGTAGCCCTCACAGCCCTTCAGTGGCTTCAAGTGGCAGTGTTGCCTGGCGCTGACCCCGCCTTCCTGAATGGCCCAAATCCCTGGAACAGGTCACCTGCCTGGGACACACTCAGGGTCTGGGGTCTCCTGGGCAGACTGCTCAGGCAGCCCCTCCCCAGCCCGGGCAGGGACCCCAGGGTCACTTCTCCCCTCTAGGGCTGGAATTCGAGCGCTGGCTCAATGCCACAGGCCCGCCACTGGCTGAACCAGACCTGTCTCAGGGATCCAGCCTGACCCGGCCCGTAGAGGCCCTTTTCCAGCTATGGACCGCAGAACCCCTGGACCAGGCAGCCGCCTCGGCCAGTGCCATCGACATTTCCAAGTGGAGGACCTTCCAGACAGCACTCTTCCTGGACCGGCTCCTGGATGGGTCCCCCCTGCCACAGGGTGGGTCCCCGAAGCTGATGGGGTGGCCCAGGGGCTGGGTTGCAATGCTGGCCCAGCTCTGACCTGTTCCCCGCCCTGACCTGCCCCCCCCCGCCCTGACCCGCCCCCGCTGCAGAGGTGGTGATGAGCCTGTCCAAGTGCTACTCCTCGCTGCTGGACTCCATGAACGCCGAGATCCGTATCCGCTGGCTGCAGATCGTGGTCCGCAACGACTACTACCCCGACCTGCACAGGGTGCGGCGCTTCCTGGAGAGCCAGGTTCGGCCTCCTGCCCAGGGTGCCGGCCTGGGACCGCCTAGCCGTGCACTGGGAGTCCTGGCCCGACTCCCTAGACTGAGCCCCCGGGTCAGGCCAGACACATTCGGGAGAATGGGGCAGGGGAGACGTAGGGGTCTGTGGGGAGGGGGTCACGTACCCGGTGCAGTTCTCCGAGAAGCTGTGGAAGGGACCAGCTGGGAGCAGGAGTCGGTGGTCCAGGCTACCCCAGCCTGCTGGGCCCTGTACCTTCAGCATCCAGGTCTGGGCAGAAGGGACAGCCAAGCTCCTCAGAGATAGGCCAGAGCCCTCAGGCCCCGGCTGCCCTGTTTCCTGTGTGTGCTCCCTCCAGCCCAGGCTCCCTGGAGATGGGGCCTCCACAGATGGCCAGGAAGGGCAGGGTAGAGGTGGGAGGCCAACGGCAGGCCCCCTCTCCACCAGAGTCCAGGCCACAGCCCTGAGGACAAAGCTGGGGAGCCGGGGGCGGGAGGGCTGGCAGGGTGGGCTGGCCTGAGGGGGCTGGGGAGCCCCCAGCATGACTGACTGCCTGTCCCGCAGATGTCACGCATGTACACCATCCCGCTGTACGAGGACCTCTGCACCGGGGCCCTCAAGTCCTTCGCGCTGGAGGTCTTCTACCAGACGCAGGGCCGGCTGCACCCCAACCTGCGCAGGGCCATCCAGCAGATCCTGTCCCAGGGCCTGGGCGCCGGCATGGAGCCCACCTCAGAGCCCAGTGTGGGGCTGGGCAGGGCTGCAGCAGACGCGGACTCGGACGCACAGGCCCTGCTGCTCGGGGACGAGGCCCCCAGTAGTGCCATCTCTCTCAGGGACGTCAACGTGTCTGCCTAGCCCTGTTGGCGGGCTGACCCTCGACCTCCCAGACACCACAATTGTGCCTTCTGTGGGCCAGGCCTGCCATGACTGCACCTCGGCTCTGGCCATGAGCTCTGCCCAGGCCCGTAAGACCCTCCTCTGGGCTCTCCCAGGCAGGGAGAATGGGGAGAGGGACCTCCTTGTATCTGGCGGAGACCTGTGGGCCTGGCCTCCCCACTCCCAGCTCTTGCACTGCAGGCTCTGGGGCCAGCCCGCACACGCCATGCCTCCTGTCTCAACACTGACAGCTGTGCCTAGCCCTGGATGCCAGCACCTGCTAGGTGCTGCCCCAGGGCAAGGGCTCCAGCAGCCCCATGGTGACTGCCACACTGTGCCTTACGTCTGCTGTGGCCCAGGCTGTGCCGTCCCTGCAGCACGCCTCCTCACAGGGATCTGAGCCACCTCCCCACAGAACCCTGCAGCCCGCCCCTGGGGTGGGCACCCTCAGATGGCCCCTGGCACAGGGACAAGGACACAGACATTCCCTCAGTGTGGGGGCAGGTGACACAGAGGATGGATGTCCGTGGGGAGGGCCTCTGGGTCCCAGACAACCTCAGCCCCTCAGAACAAGGAGTCCCCGTCCCAGGGGGAGTGTGGGGACAGGACAGCCTGTCTCTTGTGGCTTCCTGGGGGCGGGAGTCACATGGGCACAGCAATACCCCAGGGAAAGTGGGAGGTGGGGCTGGTGCTCTCTCGACCCACCATGCTGGGAGAGGCAGCCAGGGCCTGGGGCCTCCAGCCTGGGACTGCTGCAATGGGGTATCACGGTGATGGTCCCATTAAACTTCCACTCTGCAAACCTGACCTCCCTCCTCTTTCTCCCGACTCTTGGCCTCCACATCTGCCCAGCTGTGTAGGACGGGCTGGCCCACCAGGACTTGGGGCCTGGAGCTGGTCAGGAGCCGGCCGCAGCCCTGCCTCTGATATACGGGCCCGAGAGCAGGCTCCCTAAACCCTGCCCAACCCCTTGGCCGGACCTCCTGGGTCTGAGCAGGCTCGTCTGGATGTCACAGGAGGCCATGTGTCACCTTCACCTTTGTGGCTGTAGCCACATCCCAGCCTCAGTGGTGATACTGTCCCAAGATGCGTACAGGGTGACAGGAATGTTTGCTTTTGGAGGATTGAGATTTCCCATTTCCCAGGTGGTAGGTGGTGTTGCTCTTCAGGGCCCCCAAGGATGTGGCTGCGCCGCCATCTCAGTGCCACACGCACCTGGGCAATGTGCCGTGGCCCGAAGCACCACGTCTCCCCGCAATCCCCTGGCCAGGCCCAGCCACAGCTCCACTCCAAATGTGGCAACCAGGAAGTGGGGAAGGCAGGAGGTGGGGGGCAGATAACCTGGTGGCGCCACCGCCCAGTCCCCAGCCACCACGTGACCTGGACGCACACCCTCCCCCGGGCAGATGGTGTCTCCTGTGGTGGTGGCGGCTCTACACGTGTTTCACGTGCCTTCCTCACATCAGGCCTGGGGGAGGCGCCACCCCATCCAGAGACCCAGGAACTAAAAGACCATCACTGCCCCTCACACCCAGCAGGTAACAGGGACAGGACGATTGTAGTAACCCTGTGAAAGGGGGTGTGGGGGGCACCCAGCAGCCCCGCCCTGTGGCCACCTATAGTCTTGCCAGGCAGGCACAGCAGGGCCCCTGCCCGGGAGTGGACAGGCTGCTCCCTGAGTGGCGTTCTCTGCGGCCCGGGGCTCCAGACCCGGAAGGCCCCCTCCCTGTTTCATTGGCCATGCTTGATGGTGCCCTCAGAGGAGCCCTCCTCAGTGGCAGAACTGCTTCCTCAGCCTCTTCCCTGCCAAGGTTGTTTTCAAGTCTCAACAGTCACACTTGCATCCCGGGCTCTTCTTTCTTTGGCAATTCAGCTTGAAATGACTCTGTGGTCTGCGGGTGACTCCATTCCAGGCGCCTACAGCCACGCCCACAGTGCCAGCTGCAGACGCGGCTGAGCTGCGCACCTCTGCCCGAAACTGCCTTTGGGAAGCTCAACAGCAGCGCCCGGCGTCATAGCCCTGGGGGGAGGAGGGCATCTGAATTCAGATGGCACCCTTGCCACGATCTGTCCCGGCTCCGTACCCGCCCATGCACGGGAGGGCGTGCCACCTGAGTCCTTGCCGCCCTGGCCTTCGCTCCTCCTCCTCCCAGCTTCAAATGCAGAATTCTGTTCCCAGTCCCTTGTGAAACGCAGCCTCTGCCGACACTCAGGCCAGCGCTGTCCCAGCCTTGTCCACTAGACATGCACACTCATCTGCCTCGTGAGTCAGCACGGTGGAGCTTTACCAAATGTTCTGCCACCACCTGACAGCTTGCCGGCGTGCCAAATCCCGGCAGGCCCCGTGTGCCGTTAGCACCGCAGCCCTCTTTTAGTGGCCAGCTTCTCTATTAGGCCAAGAGGTGCCCCAGCCGGACAACTACGGAGCACAGGTGTCTCAAACGACAGCCTTATTCCTTATGCTGCAGGCCCACCTCAGGCTGGCGGGGGAAGGGCAGCTTCTCCTTGATGTGACCGACTGGGGACCTGAACCAATGGAATAGAGATCTCGAATGTTTCCGGGCACCTTGCCGGGGATAAGAGAGCTGCTGAGGGGCTCACAAGGGCAGTGGAAACTCTGGGGGACCCACAGCCACAGAGCTGCAACTCCAACACGCACAAAAGTCGGCGTATATGGCAAACAGCACTAATGGCGACGATGGAGCTGAGAGACGAGCTCTGTACCTGGGGGACTAGGCACTAGCCAGGCAGGTGGGAGGAGGGGTGTCACGGGGTGGGCAGCGATGCTCCAAAACAGAAAAGCAGCTGATGAAAGATTGGTTCCACACTCGAGAGCTGAAGCCTGAGGCAACGGCGTGAGGCAGACCCATGGAACCCCTTGGCTCTCAAGGTCCAAATAAGGTTTTCCAAATCCCTTAGGCCATGGCTGAGCAGCGACTTGTCTCCCGAAGCGCCCCTCTGCCATCCCTGCTCTAACTGGGACTCGGCGCTGGTGCTTCTCCCCTGAGCCCAGGTGCTTTGCATGAACACCGGGGAACTCCAGGTATAAAGGCAAGGCACCATTGACAGTCACCTGCCCACAGCAACACAGTGGGAAGGAGAACAGGCCACTCAGCCCTCACTTACACCTGAGGAGAAGACTGCAGAACACATATCATCAGAATCTCAGACCTGAAGGGGCTTTGGAAATAACCCGTAACACAGGAAGACGTGCTTGTGAAACAAGGGCGGGTAGTTTATAAAAATGAACCAGCCAGACACCCAGGATATGCTTTAAAAAGCAGTTACCAAAATAAAAAATGAAAACTCAGTGGACAGTGCTTGCTACGGTTTCAATGGTTCCTCCAAAGTTCACGTTGAAACTTAATTGCCGTTGTGATGGTCTTCAGAGGTGGAACTAAGTGGCTGGGGCTCCGCCTTCCGGAACGGATTCTGTCACTGCCAGAGCGCACGCCCGTGAAACCAGTTTAGCTGCCTCTCCCTCGTGTGTCCTCCCACTCCTCCACCTTCCACCATGGAATGATGTGGGAAATAATAAAGAAAAGGTTCCTCTTCAAAGCTTTCCTTGTAGTTCATTATGAATAAATAACGGTTTCTTCAAAGGTTAATTTATTTTAAAGCTTTTGCTAATGAAGTAGCTGGTAGTCATAATAAAAGAAGTAAGTGCATCCCGTCCTTCAACTTTAACCTAGATACCTGCCCGGACATGCCTGGGCTTGGTCAAAGCTTATTCCCTTCCTTATTTGGAAAAGTTGTGGCATCTGAAGCATTCCTCACGTTACTTCCTCTTCCTTTGTGCTCCTCTGCCTCTACCTTGAAAATTCCCAAGTGTTTAGCCAATCGGGTCAAGCAGAGCGTGAGGTCCCGTTCTGGCCAATGGAAACTGGACGCAGCAGTAGGGCGACTGCGTCGGGTTAGGAAACGGTGAATGTCCCTGTCTCCTCATTCAGGTGTGCTCTGCTGGTGAGCTGCACCCTTCCTGCAGGAAGTAAACTGGCCTTGCTGAGTGACCCATTGTCTCAGTGTGGGTTTTTCCCAACGTTTTAAACCCGTTTCCAACAAATTATGTGGCAAGAAGTCATTCGCCAGATTCCTGCCCCTCAACTTTGGACTTCCCGGCCTCCAGAACGATAAGAAAGACGTTTATTTTCATTATAAATTTCCCAGTCTGTTATTGTTACAGCAACAGGAAATAAACTTGGGGATATGAGGTGTGGAGAGTGAAGAAGTTCCCATCCCTCAAGGCATCCTCATTCTCCTACACTCAGGGGCCCCCCATCTTCATCCCCCCCAATCCCGCAACTCAGTCTCATTTCTTTATCCGTTTTCTCCCCACCATCTCTCTTCCCTCCCCATCGGACCTTCCACCCAGCAAGCTAAGCCACCTCAAGTACCCACGCCCTGAGGGCCCTGACCTAAACACCCACCAAGGTGATTTCCCTAACAGACTGTTCTTTTACTAAGAGGAATCTGATGTCAGCTGTTAAGCTCCCCACCCCCCACTTCCCACCGTCTCTCTAAATCATCACCTGGTCAGACAGAAGCCCAAGAGCAGGGACACACCAGCTAAAGGTGGAGCCTGGCAAGGGTGTCCACAGAGTGGCCAGGCCCAGCACAGATCTCAGGGGCTTTTAACAGGCACAGGCAGAGTGCTAAGATCACTACCACCCACCCACCCAGCCAGGCCCAGATAAACCTCTCCTTGTTCCAAATGAATAAGCAAACAGAAAACAATTCCCAAGTGTGGAGGGAATACAACACCCGCAATGCAGAAAATCGCCCACATCTGAAACATGCTCACCTCGGAGAACCAGTCAGCTGTGGACATTCTCTGCATCAGGCTCACAAGAAAACTGAAGAACACACAACCACTTCACTTCATAGCAACAGGAAGAGAATCCCCATGGGGAGCATATTTACTTATTCCCACTATTTGGTTTACTGGGCATGTGTTACACGTATGATGGAAGAAAAGCTCAATCTAAAATACTGCCAACAAAGAACCACCCTCATGTTGCAGTGACGAAGTGGCTGAGGTCACCTGCTTTCACACTGGCTGTCCCTATCTAAGGCGCCGACGTGTCCTGTTACCAGTGAAGGACATCCAGGTTCTTGGCATCTTTTTTTTTTTTTTTTTTTTTTTTTGAGACGGAGTTTCGCTCTTGTTACCCAGGCTGGAGTGCAATGGCACATTCTCGGCTCACCGCAACCTCCGCCTCCTGGGTTCAAACGATTCTCCTGTCTCAGCCTCCTGAGTAGCTGGGATTACAGGAATGCGCCACCGTGCCCACCTAATTTTTTTTGTATTTAGTAGAGATGGGGTTTCACCATGTTGGCCAGGATGGTCTCGATCTCTTGACCTTGTGATCCACCCGCCTCGGCCTCCCAAAGTGCTGGGATTACAGGCATGAGCCACGGCGCCCGGCAGTTCTTGGCATCTCAAACAAAGAACTGGACAACACACACACAGAGCAAAGCAGGAATGAAGGGATTTGCTGGAAATGGAAGTGCGCTCCAGTGTGGGAGCAGGCCTGTGCAGTGCACATAAATGCCATTATAGAATTTTTGGGAGAAAATACCCACTAGAGGATTCCATTGGTTACTTGGGGTTACCTGGGGTACACCCTATGAAGATGGGGAGGATGACGTCATCACCAAGTCCTTTCTTTGGCCTACGCCCTCTGGAGAGGGTATTTCCTGTCATGACTGAAGTGTGCTTCGGCCTATGTCCCCTGCACCCAGATCCTACCTTCCTGCCTCACTACCCACAGCTATGTGGTTACTCGTTGGTAAAATGGGGCAGAAATACCTACTGCTGAGACGTGTGAGGATCACAAACTCAGCATCTCAACGTGTCTTACACAGGTTTATCCCACTGAGCTGCTAACGGCTGCCCCAGCTGGGACCTCTTCACTCTCCTCGGAGAACCAACCATGGGTGGCAGTAAATACCAAAATGGTTCCTGTTTCAGCCCTGCCTGGGAAGATTCCTTCAGCTGGAACCTTTTGGTCAGGAAAAGGGAGGACAAACGCACAGAAGAGCAGTCCCTGCTAACTCTGGGCAGTATGTGGACAAGACGCTCAATTTTAATCTGTTTCGCCATGAGAATGCAATGACCAGCAGTTATTGCCCCCTGAACAGAGAGGTAAAGTTCAGAAGAGATCCCTGGTGAGGAAGCCAGGGAACATTTCCCTGAACAAGACGCGCAGCAGGATGAGAGGAGCCAGATAGGTCTGATTTCACAGGGCTCCTCAACACCCATGAACTTGAGAAACAAGTGGTCAGATGTATTTCAGTGCACTGGCCAGCAGGGGGGTCATGGTGGGAACTAGTCATGCCTGAAGGCCCCTCATCTTCCTATTACCCCCGTTCCCTCCTTTGGGGAGGGCCCTGGGGCTGTAATGCTTTTATCACTGTACTTCAGACCAAGAAGCTGCAATTGAGGCCGCTGGGGTCATGAACCAGCTGCCCTCCAAACCCTTTCTCATCCCACTGACCTAGGCTGCTTACAACCTCTCCAGATACCCCAGGGGCCAGAGGGGAATGCCGTCCTTCATGGCTGAGGGAACACCTCTGCACCCTGGGGTAATGGATGGGACCACAGGCCATAATGTCTTAGTCTGTTTCATGTTGCTATACCTGAGGTTGAGTAGTTGTTTAGAAAAAAGCAAAACAGGTTTATTTGGCACAAAATTCTGGTGGAAATTTCAAGACTGGGCAGCCGCAACTGCTGAGGGCCTCATGCTACTTCAATTCATGGCAGCAAGTGGAAGGGGAGGGGCATGCGTGGAGATGGCATGGGAACACAGTGCCAGAGGAAGCCAGAGACGACTGCAGAAAGGCTGCCTCTCTAACCAGCTCTCATGGGGGCTCACCCCTCCACACAGGGTACTTATCTCTTCATGAGGGATCCAGCCTATTACCCAAACTCCTCCTACTAGGTACCACCTCCCAACACTGCCACATTGGGGATCAAATTTCAATACCGGTTTGGGCAGGGAACAGACCACATAGGCAAATCACAGCATGGGGTGCTGGTGGGGGGTTGCTGGTGGGGGGCATGCTGACACCGGGCTGCTGTCTCTTGGCCCTTCCAGATCCTGGGAATCTGGCTACAGGCATGGGTCCAGCCTTGGACACAGACGTGGCTGCAGGAAGCTGTTAGCTCTGCAGATTTTATCAGCCTGGGAGAAGGGCATAACACAGGCTTCCAAGGAGAGTCAGGATACTGGGCCAGCCTCAGTTCTGCTACCCACCCATATGTGGCACCTGGGCAAACCAGCAGCCAAGTACCCAGGACAGGGAAGATACGTAGTTCTTACTTCTCCGGGACCCCTAGGTGGAGCAGAGACCAGACTCTTCTTGACTCCTCTCAGCTACGGTGCAACCACCAGCCTAGCAAGGAATCAGAAACATCTTCTGGAAGAATCAGCATCATAGGGGTGAGGAATGGGCGATGAAGCATCCGGGCAATGAAGCATCCCACAGGTGCTGGGCTATGGGGTCATTCCCTTTTCCAGACTGAAGCAAGGAGATAAGCACTCTGGACCCCTCATCAGGGGCCTGAGGTCTGGCGGGATGTACAGTGTACTACCACCTGTACAACTGCTCCTCACGCAGGCCCCACCTGGCCTCTCAGAGGGAGGAACCTGGGACTCCTGAACCACATTCAGTTTCTCCTTCAATAGTAGGGACTTTTCGCTCCTGACTGCAGAAAAATACCTTCAGTGTGACCATTCTTCATAGCCCGAGGCTGGGTAAAATGGCCTGAGGAGGCAAAATCTGAAAAGCTCTATTAGGTGGCAAACTGCTGTCACTAGACGGTTGAGGCCCCGTTCTCCTCCCCTGCCTGACCACCTTCGTTCCTGAGAAGGGAACAGGTTCTGGCAGCAAGGGTGAATCCTCGAGCAGGTCCCAGGATCACGACCCTCACCACTCCGCGGCACTCAGTGGCTACAGCTGTAAATGTGGGTCCACGGGGTCACCGTCCAGCCACCAGGACCAGGTCCCCGGCCATCTGCGGAACAGGAAAACGCTCAGCGGGATGCTCTGGCCTCCTCGCCGCCCCCAGTTAAGATGCAAAGCGTTCGACCCAAAATGCCTAGAAACAGAGCCCAGGCCCCCGGAAGGTCCAACCTCTGCGACGCCGCTCCCTCAAGCTCCTCCCTCGGAGCCGTCTTGTGTCCCAGGCCTCCCGAACTCGCCACGGAGAGGCGCTGGGCCAGGCGGTCACTCTCTTTTCCAGAATCACAGCAAGATGCTGAGCCTGCTGGGCTCCTAACCCCTGGGGCCCGGTGGGATGAAAGCCCTAACAGGTGGCAAAGGGGTTAAGGCCTCCGGCTCCCCCTCCAGACGACGACGCTGGAGAGCTCAGAACTCGCCTTCCCAAGCGCACGTATCGGTTCCTCCCAACAACCCGCGGCCACCGCCTCCGCAGCAGAGCGCCGGAAACAGAGCGCGTCTCGGGAGGGAGGTGCATGCTGGGAGTGCCGCTGCATGCTGGGAGCTGTAGTCCGCGGCGCAACTCGGCCAACGTGGCTCCCTGGTCCCTGACGTACCCAGAGCCCGCGTGTGCAGGCGGTCCCGACACCGCGGCCCTAGCCTCACCGGCTCGACGACTAAACGCCAGCCGGCCCTCCGGGAATGAGCGGCGGAGGTCTGGACAGTCCACGGCTCCGCCGCCCCCGGAAGGAAAAAATTCAGCGCGGACAGCAGCCCGGCATCGCGAGAGCTGAAATCGGGAGCCCCGCCTCCTGAGCCTCAGAAGTCCGTGGCGCTTTCCGTCGCCCGAGTGCGATTGGGCCGCGATGTCACGTGCCCCGAATCGCCGCGCCCGATTGGCTGCCGCGTGGTTACCTATGGGCGACTCCGGTCCGGCGTCCTGGCCTGGCCCAGCACCTGCGGGGCCCTCGGGCTTGGAGGGCTGGGCCGGGCGGGGAGCGGGCGGGACGGGCCGGAGGCAGCGGCAGCGGCAGCGGCTGCGACCCCGAGGCTGCCGGCTGCAGATGGGAGCCCGCGGAGCCGAGGATGCAGGCGGGCTGCGGCGCGACGCCGGCGCGGGAGCTGTTCCGGGACGCCGCCTTCCCTGCCGCGGACTCCTCGCTCTTCTGCGACTTGTCTACGCCGCTGGCCCAGTTTCGCGAGGACATCACGTGGAGGCGGCCCCAGGTGGGGCGGGTGGGGTTTCTGGCTTCCGAGAGCGTCGCTCCTCGAGCGAGCCGGCCGGGGTGGGCGGTCAGGGTTGCCCCGAACGCAGGGTTCGCAGTTCTCCTTAGAAGTGGGCGCCCGGCCCCCACTTTCGTGGCTCCTTCCCACGCCCGCCCAGAACGAGCAGGACTCCGCGTTGCCCCGAGGACACGAGGCGAGACCGTGGCCCCCACCTGCGAGAGCGCCAATCCGGAAGGATGCTCAGAGCGCAGCTAGAGGCGTTTATCAGAGCCCCAAGCCCGGCCCCACCTGTTTGCTTCCGCCCTGAAGAGCGTTTGTGTCTGCTCCTCCCGGCAGAGAGGGCCGCCCCTGCCCCTCTGGAGTGTCTAGACCGAGCCCACAAAGCAAAGCGTGAGAGAATTTCAGTTTCAGGATTTATTGCACCTGCCTTTCCGGTTGTAAACGCTTAAAAATGGCAACTCCAAGGGATGCCCTGGCCGAGCGCCGTATTCTTGTTTTCAGAAATGGTCTATCTGCTGAGTAAGACTGCCCAGGGAGCAGCCTTGCCCAGCGGATGCGGTCTTAGCGGAGACAACTGATGGCACCCGCCCTCGAGCAGAGCTGGAACCTCGGCTCTGGTGACTGAGGTGGCCTTGGCCACCTGGTTTCTTGGACAACACGGAAGGGCTGGGGAGGAGGCAAGGTCAGACCTTGTAGAGCCTTGTCATCGGAATGTGGGTTTTATTTTGTTAAAAGGTCGAGTTTTAGGTGCAGTTAGAGACCACTAGAGGGTTTGGTAGAGGAGTGATTCTTCTAGATGTGGGTTTTAGAAGCTCACTTGCTGCTGGGTGGGAAGTGGATTGTGGGGGCAAGAATGCAAGGGGCCATCGCAGTGGTCCTGGAGAAAGATGAAGGGGGGTCAGGTTAGTGTGACGACCATTAGGGTGGGGATTTGGAGTAAAGTGGTCTGAGACCTACTTTGCAGTGGGGATTGAGAGGCCTTAGTGACTGATGGGAACAGGGTGAGGATAGTGGAGGAAGCAACATGCTTTCTAGGTTTCTGGCCTGAGCAAGTGGGTGGATGGTGGTCCTGGGACAGAGCCTGGGGTGACCTAGATTTGGGCTTTGCTCTCAGGTGTTCAGGTGGAGCTGTCCTGGAGACAGGTGTATAGAGAGTAGGGACAGCTGGGCTAGAGGTATTCATCTGGGAGGAGGAGCATATTAAATGGTTTTCGGTCCACAGCCTGGCAGAGTGTCTCAGGGGAGTATCAGTGAAGAAGAAGGGGGCCTTGGGACTGAGCCTTGAAGAGCCCTAACATTTCTTGAGGTCAGGCAGGTTCCCTGACAGATAGACTTAAGAAGCAGCAGGCAGCGACGGAGAGGACACCCAGGGACATGCAGCCTCAGGGAGCTGAGTGGGGACTGCCTCGGGGTAGCAGACGACAGCTCTTCTGAATACTGCTGAGTAGCTGGGAGAGTTGGGACGGAGGGAAGCCCAATGGGTTTGGTAACAGAGACGACAGTGACATTGATAGAGGCAGTTCAGGGGGCATGACTGGCTCAGAAGCTGGAGAGCCTGTGTGGAGTGAATGGGAAGCCAGCAGTGGGCTTCAGCGCTTTCTCGGAGGTTGTAATGAGGAGAAGCCTGAAGGAGACTGTGGTGCTGAGGGTAACGTCTTAAAGAACACGGCAGCCTCTCTCCCGTCTTCATGCTGCTCGGATTCTGCCCCTGGAGGTGAAAAGGAAGGAGTCCAGGCTCTGAGGTGCCCAGAGGGCAGAAGATAGGGTCAGGTCCAGAAGCAGGAGGCAAGGTTGGCAGCTCAGAGGGGTGGGCAAGGGGAGTGTGGATGCTTTGAGAAGACAGGGAGAAAGGGGAAGGTCTGTGATAGTTTGGGGATGTGGGAAATGGAGCCTGCTAGAGAAACAGGAAGATTTCCAGCAGGATGGAGGACGCATTTGAGATCTGCCAGCATGAATGAAAAGTGAAACTTTTCTAAACCAACATTTTGCTGTTTTGAGAAGGAGCTTGGGAGAGTTTGCGATTTTTCCAGTAAGGAAGGAAGACAGAGACAGGCCACCCAGAATTAAGCTGGGCAGGGGGATTTGAAGCCAGGAGCTGAAGAACACCCACCACAGGAAACCACCTCCTGTCCCCTTCTGGGCTGCAGTGATGATTGGAAAAGCTCTGCCCCAACCCTTCACCTAAATCCTTGGCTTCTTAGTTTGAAGGATTTCCCAGCAGGCATGATCTAACTCTGGACAACTTTATTTCAGGAGATCTGTGCCACGCCCCGGTTGTTTCCAGATGACCCACGGGAGGGGCAGGTGAAGCAAGGACTGCTGGGGGATTGCTGGTTCCTGTGTGCCTGTGCCGCCCTGCAGAAGAGCAGGCACCTCCTGGACCAGGTGGGGGCCCTTCTTCCCCGTTTGTCCTGGTGCCACTTTCTCTTCTGCGCGATTCTCCTGGCTGCTGAGCATGGGGAGCCCTTGTGAAACAGACCCGTGTGGCAGTGGATTTCTCTCTGTGTTGGGGAAAGACAGGAGCGTTCTGAGGCAGAAACTGAGGACTGCACTCTGTCCCTCTGCGGCAGGAGGGGGGGCCTTGGCCCCGCCAGAGGGCTCCGTCAGGGAGGTGTTCATCCTGTTCTCTGATCTCCTGAGCCCCGGGCTCTCCGTGGAGTCAGAGTACCACATTTAGAGTAAAGAGACAAATGTGCCAGCTCACAGGAGGATGGGCGGCTGGGGGCCTCTGTCCCAGATCGTTCCTGAGCTAGCTGCCTGGCTTTCTGACAGCGTCTGCAAAAGACATTCAACCTGGCTCTGTTGGTAGACAGACCCTCTGGGCGGAGAAGGCCTTCTCAGGTTGGCCGCACCTGGGAGTCTGCAGCTTTGTGCTGGGCTCGTCAGTGAGCATCGCTGATTAATGCAGCGGCTTCGACCGTGCCGACCTCACAGCGTTTCACTCACTCCCAGGCCCCATGCTAAGCATATCACGGTCACTGACTCTCAGTGTCATAGCCTTGCCTGCTTTGACTCTTCTTTCTTTCTTTTTAAACAAACAAGAGTGCTAAAACCACTGCCATTGTGTTTCTGGCCAGTAAGTGGCGGAGCCAGGACCGTACCAGCGTCAGGGGGAGTGGTGTCCAGCCTGCACTCCCCCTGACGCTGCGTCAGAATGCTTACCCCTGAAGGAGCCCCGTGGTGGACATGGGGGTGCAGGCAGCTGGCCCAGTGTGGGGGCACCAGGCTCCCAAAGCAGAGGGGCTGCCATTCCTGTGGTGACATGTTGCTTGCAGCCAGCTTAGTCAGTAATGGGGTCACTCATGCCCTTGAAAGTCACATCGTTTTGGCTTCAGGTCAGGTGCTTTTAGTGAGGGCAGCAGACTGTGTCCTGGGATACGTGGCCCCCTTGGTGTGGTCCTGAAGCATTGCAATGAGAGGTCTGTTGATCTCGTGTGTGGTGCTCAAGCCCTGTGCACACGCCAACATCCAGATGTGCCACAGAGTTCTCTGCAGAGTGCTCAGCTGTGGCCACGCCATGGCCGGGACACCGGAGCTGTGCCGGACGATGCTTACGTGATGCTCGCCTTTGCTTCTCCCTGTGCGTGCCCAGGTCATTCCTCCGGGACAGCCGAGCTGGGCCGACCAGGAGTACCAGGGCTCCTTCACCTGTCGCATTTGGCAGTTTGGACGCTGGGTGGAGGTGACCACAGATGACCGCCTGCCGTGCCTTGCAGGGAGACTCTGCTTCTCCCGCTGCCAGAGGGAGGATGTGTTCTGGCTCCCCTTACTGGAAAAGGTCTATGCCAAGTGCGTGTGCTGGGGGCCGAAGGGCCTGGTCTGGGGCGAGTGGGAGCTGCTGCCACCACGGGCTGCCCTGGGAGGGTCTCCGCTCACTCTGGGCTGCAGAGCCCCCTTCGGTTCTGAAGGTCTCGTCCTGTGGGTCACGCTGGCTGGCCAGATGCAGATTCTCCTCCGAGGCCTGTGGTTTGCCCACTCCCCGCTTTCCCTTCCCTTGCTCCAAAGCCCAGCCCTGGGTCATCCTCCACAGAGAGCATGTGCGCCAGCTTCCTTGTGTTCTCAGCCCCGGCAAGAGAGACGCTTCTTTCTGTTTGTTGAATGGTTGGGACAGGCGAGCTTGCTGTGTAGTTGCTGGGGAGAAGTGAGGCCACCCCGACGTACCAGCACTTCTGTGTCATGGTGCTGGCTCAGGGACCAGGACCCTCATCGTCAACCATAATTGAGTAGCCTTTCCTCATAGAACATATTCATCATCTTGCCAAGGGCAACTGGGCCGACAGGCAGGCAGGGAAGCTGGTGAACACGGGAAGGCTGCCCAGTGACATCAGTACCAATGAGCCCTTCCGTCCCAAGGGCTAATTTTGGAAAAGTAGGGCTGGAGCTTGAGAGCTGAGGGCTGTGGGCATCCATAGCCTCCATTCCTCCTGCCCTGCTCCCATGCCCACACCGGAGGCCAGAGAGTTTCTTTATGTGAGCAGAGGACTGCAGGGCACTCAGGTTCACTGTGGAGTAAGGTGTTTGAAGGTGAGGATGAGGAGGAAGGCACAGGGGGAATAAAGAGGTATGATTGAGGTGGCGGCCGAACGACTTGGCGTGTTACCCATGGGAGTCGGTGGGGGGCCATGTCCAATGCCAGAGGCTCACTTCCATGGTGACTGTGTCCCCTAGGGTCCATGGGTCCTATGAGCACTTGTGGGCAGGGCAGGTGGCAGATGCCCTGGTGGACCTGACTGGCGGCCTGGCAGAAAGATGGAACCTGAAGGGCATAGCAGGAAGCAGAGGCGAGCAGGACAGGACAGGCCCCGGGGAGCACAGGACTTGCCGGCAGCTGCTCCACCTGAAGGACCAGTGTCTCATCAGCTGCTCTGTGCTCAGCCCCCGAGCAGGTGAGGCACGTGCCCCTCACCGCCAGGCCTCAGGCGCACTGTGGCTTTTCGTGTGACTGGCTACACAGCCCTGCCAGGACTAAGTGGGGAGAAGGAAGCTTGTTCTCAAGGGTGGTGTCCTGGGCTTGTGACCTTCCCCCGCTGTCCTCTTCCAGAGGGACAGAGCGCTTCACTCCCTGACCAGTCCTTTCAGCTGGTGTGAGGCAGGAAGCAGGGGCACCGAGTCAGAGGCCATCGTCTATGCTATCCCTGGCCCAGTGGGCAACCAAGCAAAATCAAAACCTGTTTTTTATTTTAGTGATAGACATATGTTCATTAAAGACAGTTTATTTACAAGAAAAGAAAGGGGCTGGGGTGGTGGCTTACCCCTGTAATCCCAAAACTTTGGGAGGCCGATGTGAGAGTATCGCTGGAGCGCAGGAGTTGGAGAGCCTGGGCAGCGTAGAAAGATCCCATCTCACAAAAGTGAAGTGAAAAGGCCCTCAGATCTGACCACCGTGGCTCGAGTGCTCTCGGTTTTCCGGAGCCCGTGCCGCTGACACTTCCGTCCTGCACCCGCTTCTCACACTGCCACATGCGCCGTCTGCGTGCTCCTATGAGTGGGTTTGTCGTAGTCTCTGAATCGTTCCCCTGATGTTGGATCTTAAGGTATTTCTGGTTTTATATAATTATAAATAACATCAGTGAATATCTTTACCATTTTTTAAATATTCAGGATCATTTTAAATACTGGTCAAAGAATATGAATATCACAGTAAAGTGAAACAAGTTGGCATAGGCCTTGGTCCGGGTCCCCCACAAGCAGACCCAGAGATGGGGTTCAGGAGCACGTTGAGAGGTTCAGAGAGCCTGGAGAGCGTGTGCTCCCCGTCAGCCCCACTGGGGCCCAGGCAGGACCCTGGCCTCCGAGCCTTCCACCTGGGAGTGAGGGCGCTGGTCTCTTGAACATCAGCTTGGGGAGCTGTTGGTTTCAGGCTGCTCGAGGGTGGGGAGGGCTAAGTCCTAGCACTTCGCCATGGCTGGAGGTGCACTGGAGCCTGCTGAGGTGGCCAGGGGCTGCGGCATGGGCAGGACCCAAGTCCTTCCAGGAGCCCCTCCTCTCTAGACCAATGCCCGCCACAGATGCGGCACCCCCTCTGTTTGGCTCTTTCTTTTCTGTGCCCATCTGTCTCAAGGTCTCTGGCCAGGTAGAGCTGTCGCCCCCCTAGGCCTCCGTGCCTCCCATGGCTTCTGGTCAGGGCAGTATCCAGATGCCTGCCTGCCATGGGCTTTGCCAAGAGGAGCACTCTCTAGGTCCTTGGTAGTTGCAGATGCATCTGTGCGGCGTGTTTGAGAAGTGGCACTGTGCCAGGCATTGGGCACTGATGGGTATGGGCGATGACTGAGACCTAGAGAAGGGATGACTTACCCAGCACTGGACCCACTGGCAGCCGAGTCAGGGCCTTGGTGCTTGCTCTGAGACGCTCCTGAGCCGATAGGCCAGTTGCTAGGAAAGTAGCCCCCATGGTCCGTGGGGGTCTGTGTCGCCACAGTCAGGTGGGCTGGAGCAGGTCCAGAGACGGAGGCCTGTGTGTCCTCGTCCATATGGGACGTCATGGTGCCCTTCTTGCCTGTGCCCAAGCTGTCCCTCACGCAGGTGCCCGGGAGCTGGGGGAGTTCCATGCCTTCATCGTCTCGGACCTGCGGGAGCTCCAGGGACAGGCGGGCCACAGCGTCCTGCTGCTGCGGATCCAGAACCCCTGGGGCCGGCGGTGCTGGCAGGGGCTCTGGAGAGAGGGGTGAGTGACGGGGCCTCACTGCGCTTGGGAGGGGCCCAGTGTCAACCTGGCCTGTATCCTTGTCACCTGCAGCTGTTAGGACCTTACCTGGATATCTCCAGCAAGGCCCCTGGGCCCCTGCTCATGTGACACCATGCTTCTCTTGACCCCAGACAGTCCTTGTAATGGCTGCTGAGGTGGCCAGGGGCTGCGGCCTAGGGTTTCGATAGGGCAGACATCATCATGAGCTCAGACAGCAGTCCTGGGAAGACGCGTTCAGAGGCACGAAGTTCCTTTGGGAAAAGAGAGGGCTCCGGTGGGTGGCTGCTGCCCGGAAGGCCTGTGCTGCAGGCTGCTTCAAGTGTGTGGTGGGGGCGGGGAGCTGCAGAGCTGGGCTGTGAGGGCGCTGGCAGGAACTCCAGGCTCTCTGGATCCCCTCCAGGGTCCCCCCAGCCTGCCTGCCAGTTGATGCTACCAGTTTTCAGGAGGGGCTTCTGCTGAGTTGAGGTTTCTTGCAGGGGTGAAGGCTGGAGCCAGATAGATGCAGTGCTAGCGTCTGAGCTCCTGTCCCAGCTCCAGGAAGGGGAGTTCTGGGTGGAGGAGGATGAGTTCCTCAGGGAATTTGATGAGATCACCATCGGCTACCCCATCACGGAGGCCGGCCACCTGCAGAGCCTCTACACAGGTAGTGCCCTGAGGGCTGTGCTGGGCGTGTGCTCTGCTGCGGAGGTGAGGAGGCTGGGCAGTGCCCGGTTTGCTTCTCTTGTGTGGAGGGATGCTTCTGTCCCAGGAGCCGGGAGGAGGGTAGGCCCATGGGAGGGGCCGGCTCTGTCCGTGGCCGTGGCTGCTGCTTAGACCCTGCTGGGGCTCATGGGCTTGGCATGGCGGGAGGCCAGCTTGGAGCGGTGTCCTGCAGCTGACACCTATGTTCTCTCACTAGAGAGGCTGCTCTGCCACACTCGGGTGCTGCCTGGGGCCTGGGTCAAGGGGCAGTCAGCAGGAGGCTGCCGGAACAACAGCGGCTTTCCCAGCAACCCCAAATTCTGGCTACGGGTCTCAGAGCCGAGCGAGGTGTACGTGGCCATCCTGCAGAGATCCAGGACGCATGCAGCGGATGGGGCAGGCCGGGCGCGGGCGCTGGTGGGTGACAGTCGTGCTTCATGGAGCCCAGCGGGCATCCCGGGCAAGCACTACCAGGCTGTGGGCCTGCACATCTGGAAGGTAACTCGGCCCTGCCTGGCTCATGCTCCATGGCACATGTGGCATGGAGGCCCATGGAGGTCTGGGTTCTCGGAGCAGTCCTGCAGGGACACATGGGACTCTGCCCCAGGCCCTACCAGCCTCCCCCTCCTCGGGCCGTGGCATGGGGTTGTGCCTGCCGGTGCTCCCCGACCTGGCCGTGACCTGAGACTGCCAGCTTGGGCTTCTTTCTGCCTGGCCTTGGGCCTCGTTGGCCAAAGGAAGCAAAGGAGGCTGCAGCCAGGACAGGACCCACAGGGCACCGGGCCCAGAGCTCCCGACGGTGTCATGCGTTCCCGGGGCAAGGAGGCGAAGTGCTGGCCAAGGAACTACCTAGGCCAGTCCCAGCTCTGCAGCCTGCTGTGTGACCCAGCATCGGCCGCGTCCTCTCCCTGCTCGCCTCAGTCTCTTCCCCTGCTAGGCCGGGTCCTGACACCGGCCTCATGGGCTTGCTCTGAGGCCTGGTCAGTCCCAGGCTCAACCACTGGTTCACAAAACGTGCTGTTTCCTGGAAGAACTGATGGGGCACCTGGGAGCAAAGGCCTGAATGTGGTCGAGGATGTGCTGGCCGCTTGCTCAGGGGCTGACAAGGTGTGACACCTGGTACCACACTGCTCCCTGTCCCTTCATGGATGTGGCCCCATGATGTTCCTTTCCTCTTAGAAAAGGAGGTGCTGGAAGGCCCACTGTCCAGCAGCCCCCAAGTTGCCTGGGCCATGGCACCTCCTACAGGGGAGGACTTGTAGGCTCCAGACAGTGGCCCCACGGCCAAGTGCGGACCTATACAGGTGGGCATCTCCAGCTGGCCCCTGAGAGAGGGTGGAGGGCACTGACCGGCCTTGGCGCTGTTGTCTGCTGCCTCCAGAGGCTGCTGTGCTTGGAGCAGGAAGGCCAAGGCGCCTGACACTGGTCTCTCCTCTGCACTGGGCCTCTGCCCATGCTTACAGGTGGAGAAGCGGCGGGTCAATCTGCCCAGGGTCCTGTCTGCGCCTCCTGTGGCTGGCACTGCGTGCCATGCATACGACCGGGAGGTCCACCTGCGTTGCGAGCTCTCACCAGGCTATTACTTGGCTGTCCCCAGCACCTTCCTGAAGGACGCACCTGGGCAGTTCCTGCTCCGAGTCTTCTCCACCGGGCGGGTCTCCCTCAGGTGAGAGGAGTTGCGCAGTGCGGCTTGTCCTCTGAGTCAGGGTTCGGGCACTTTCCCTCGGGGTTGGCAGGTGTCCGTGTGGGGACTGAGGCTGCCGGGAACCTGCCACCAGCGCCCTCCCATGTTTGTCTCCCTGGCAGTGCCGTCAGGGCAGTGGCCAAGAACGCCGCCCCCGGGGCAGTCCTGCCTTCAGGGGAGTGGGGGACCGTGCAGCTGCGGGGCTCGTGGAGAGCCGGCCACACGGCAGGGGGCAGCAGGAACTTTGCCTCCTACCCCACCAACCCCTGCTTCCCCTTCTTGGTCCCCGAGGGCCCTGGCCCCCGCTGTGTCCACATCACTCTGCATCAGCACTGCCAGCCTGGTGACACCGAATTCCATCCCATTGGCTTCCATGTCTTCCAGGCAAGCTCCTCGCCACGGGAGGAAGAGGGAACAGAGGGGCCCTCAGAGAATTTGCATCTTGGCCTTGGTTGTTCCAACAGAGGGCTCTGGGCTCAGTCAAGTGGGCACACAGCCCCAGCTCCCCTGCCCTTCAAGCCACCACCTGGAACCCACATGGGCCTCTCCCCCATCTCTATCCTCACACAGGCCAGGTTGAAGATGGCCTCTGGAAGGGCCGGGGACCGGGGGCGTGGGAGGTAGCGCTCACCCAGGCAGGGCGGGTTTCTGGAGGAAGTGGTAAGTAGGGAGGAGGGGAGAAATTTGTAGGGGACAGGAGGCTGAGCCCTGGGCTTAGGGACACGGGAGCCCAATGGACTCAGGTGAGAGGAGGGAGGCCCAGACTGGCCGGCCACAGCAACCCCTGCATCTTAGCAAGTCCTCAGTCACTAGGGCTCAGCCAGTGGCCCCTTGTCCACTTACCTGACTCAGAACGACTGTGTCCGGAGGTCCATTCTCTGCAGACCGGTGTCCCCTGGAATGCAGGGCCCGGATGAGGAAGACTCTGTGCCCCTCAGTTTACGGTGGGCTGCCGGGACTCCCAGAGCCTCGCTGTTTGCCCAGGCAGCCGGCTCAGGTCCCCCAAAGCTCTGAGGAAAACATGTCCAGGGGCCAGTGAGCATACCCTTGGGGCTGGCTGGGCAGTCACAGGTTTTAAAATGAAGCCCCTAGTGATGCGGCGGGGCTCCAGGCTAAGGCCCTGCTGCCGGCACCTTCTGGCAGGGGTGGTCAGGCCTTGCTTAGGGGGCAAGGCCAGTGTCTGGGGCTGCATGTGACTCAGGAGGGCTGAGGGCATCCAAGCAGGTAGCCCCGGGCTGTGCCCCCTACCCCACAGCCAGCCCCTCAGTCTGAGCCCGCGCCTCGCCAGGTCCCTGAGGGTGGCAGGAGCCTGGACGCGACCCCGCTGCTCCTGCAGGAGCCGCTGCTAAGCTGCGTGCCGCACCGCTATGCCCAGGAGGTGAGCCGGCTCTGCCTCCTGCCTGCAGGCACCTACAGGGTCGTGCCTTCCACCTACCTGCCGGACACAGAGGGGGCCTTCACGGTGACCATCGCCATCAAGATTGACAGGTGGGGCCCTGGAACTTGGGCGGCCCGCTGGAGGCTGGGGTCCTGGAGTCTTAGCCCTCACCTGTCCCCCACGTCTCTTCTGCCTGCCCCTCACCCCCAAGATCCTATCTGTCCTGGCGGACCAGGACTGTCCTGCCTACCTGGGGACCCTTCCTTGCTGGTCTGGGCTTTCGAGGAGAGTCTTGTAGGGGGTGGGCAGGAGTGCGCAGCCCCTCATGTGCCAGTGGGGTGTGAGAGCAGTGACCTGGCATCTCTCCACAGACCATCCATTCACAGCCAGGAGGTGCTGGGCCAGTTCCTCCAGGAGGTACGTATGCAGCCCCCAGCCCACAGCCCACTTACCTGCCTGCCTAGGGTTTTTCTGCAGCCTCAGGTGGATGACCTCTGCCTGGGACATGAGGTGCCTTGACTCTTCCTGTGAGAGCCCTGGGTGGCGCCTCAAAGGGCAGGGGGAGCTGGGGCTGCATGCCATTCCCTGGCTGTGCTCGCTGTGGGGTGTGAGAAGGTGTGAGTGCCGCCGCTGTCTAGGCCCCCATCTGTCCTCGCAGGTCTCCATCATGGCAGTGATGAAAACCTAGCTGTGTGGCCCCTGGCCAGCTCAGGTGACTGGAGCTGAAGGCCTGAAGGGTCCCCAGCCGCTGGGCCGGCCAGCCTTTCGTGGTCGGGGGCTGGTCCTGAGTCTTGGCCCACCTCCCAGCTCTGCCAGGCGGCTGCTGCCTGGGGGTCCACAGGATGCCTCCATCGTGAGAGATGCAGCCCTCTGGGTGAGCAGATGCTGCAGGAAGGGCGGGAAACTCGGTGGCTTCTGTGGTGCCACTGAGACAGCAGAGACCCCAGGATCCCTCCCAGACCCTCCTCAGCGGACTCCAGAAGAGGCCTCACACCCGGAGGGCAGGGCAGTGGGTCTTCTTTATAACTGTTTATTGTCTGAATCACTTTTGGGATGTAACTTTATAAATAAACATGAGCACTGAGAATCTGCAGATAGCTCCAGGCTGCATTTGCTCTTGCTGAGCGTGCTGTGGGGAGGGCTGGGTGCCTGCCGAGATGGTGAGGATCAAGATGGCCTCCAGAGGGCCCAGTGGGCAGAGCCAGCCCAGGCAGGCAGGTTTCAGGCGGAGATGGTGAGTGGGGAGGAGGGGAGAAGTTTGGAGGGGTGGGCACAGGGCGTGCCCCGGGCCAGGAGGCTGAGGTTGAGGCTGGCCGGGTAGGTCAAGCCCTGGCCTTGGGGGATGCAGACCAGTAGACTCGGGAGTGAGGGGAGGGGAGGGCCAGCGAAGGCGCTGCCAAGGCTGTGGCGAGGGACATCTCAGAAACTGTTGGAACAGGAGCTGCTGCAGGGGGAGGAACCCAGGTATGCTTGGACAGGAATCTTTGGGTCAGGACGGCTCCTCCGCCTTCGGCCGGAGTTCACCTGCGCAGTATACTGGGATTATTTATTTCCCCAGGCCTCTCGGTCCCACACAGAGAATGCTGCCATGAGAGCTGTAGTGTCACCGAAAGGTGCAGAAGACAGTTCCAGACACACACCGGGAGGACTGCCACTGATCCCTTTTGTTTTGGAGACGGCGTTGCTCTGCTGCCTGGGCTGGATGCTGCGGCATGAGCACACTACCACGCCTGGTCAGTTCTGAAACGCTTGAGTAGGTAGGGGCCTCAGTGGTCCTCCTGCCTTGGCCTCCCAAAGCACTAAGATTGCAGGCATGAGCCACCAGCCCCGGCCACTAATCCCTTTTAAATTCCATTCACTTCCTGAGTCCCTCCTTCGTTCGTGCATGGGGAGACCCAGCGTATTGGTCCTTTTTCACATTGCTATAAACTACCTGAGACGGTGATTTATAAAAGGAGGTTCAATCAACTCAGTTCTGAAGACTGCACAGGAAGCGTGGCTGGGGAGGCCTCAGGAAGCTTCCAGTCATGGCAGAAGGTGAGGGGGATGCAGGCAGTCCACGTGTCCGGAGAAGGAGGAAGGGAGCAAAGGGAAGGTGCTGTGCACTTTTAAACAACCAGATCTCACGAGAATTCACTATCACGAAGACCGCAAGGGGAAACCTGCCCCCATGAGCAGTCATCTCCCACCAGGCCCTCCCCACACTGGGGATTACAGTTCCACAGGAGATTTGGGCGGGGACACCAAACCATCGCACCCAGTGAGCCTGACTTGGGCCTTGCTTCCCCGATCACACCCATCTCTGGAGTCCTGGTGTCTTGTGTGCCCACTGGGACCTGTGCCACTGTCACCCCTCCACACCCTGGCCACACCAGCCACCCTTCTGGCTCACCCACAGGAAGCTGCCCTGGCCCTGCCCCGAGCCCCTCCGCTTGCTGGGTCAGTGGCCCTCCAGCAGCGCTGCACTGGCAGCTGGGTCCTCGTCGTCTTCAGACACGGATCCTGAGCAGCAGGGTGGGACTCGGTCTCCCCGTGTGCAGAACCCCACCACAGCTTTCCCTCATCCACTGCTGATTTCGGGTGAAGCCAGTGGTGCTGCCTGTTGGGGTGCAGGAACTCGGGGTGAACAGTGAGGGGCTGGTCAAAGAAATCCCCCGCAGGGCAGTGCCCAAGCTGGAGGCTCCAGCCCGTCAGAGCTGCCCTGGAACCCTGTGCTTGTGGGCTGGCAGGCCCTGGGCAGCGCCTGCTGGTACAGGGTGGGACGGGACAGTTGAGGTCAAAGTGTTTCTCAAGGGCTTCCTCAGTGTCTGTGCGGGGAGGGCAGTGGCAGGGCTGCGTCCATGTCGGAGTAGACTGTGGCGGGCTCCCCATGAAGAGTTCTGGAGCAAACCCTGCCTGGGCCAGCCACTGGGCCCTCACGAGCCACTGTCCCCGAGGCAGCCCTGATGGTGGTGGCCACACCCTCCTGCTGGGCAGCTCTGGCTGAAGTCCTCAGTCAGGACCTGCTTCCCCATGTCCGAGGCCACCGCCTGAGAGAAGACCTCAAAAGCGCAGGATTCCGTGACTCTGGGGCCACGGTTGGTGCCTGTCGTCCCCCCTCCCCCATGCGGGCTGGCTCCACTGGACCTGGCTGCCTTGGCCATCTCACCTACCAGCTGGAACCATGTTCCTGGGTGTGGAATAAGCTCCCTCTGGAGCCTGCAGAGACCCCTGAGGCCTCGTGTTTCCTTATGATGGAAGGTGCCCAATGCAATTGGAGGGGATGCCTGGCAGGAATCTAGCCCCCAGCCCCCTAAACGTTTCTGGTGCAGGAGCTTTGGCCTGGCATCGTTTGTCCCTGGCTGCCTCCTCCCTGATGCCATCAGCATCCTGTCTTCAAGGTCATAGGTCAGTGTTGTGCTTCTCAAGGCATCCGCCAGCTGCTCTCTCTGTCCCTGTATTATGGCAGCCATCCCTGGAAGAACTGGCAGAGCTTTTGTCCATTCCACACAAATTGCCAGGAATGTTAGCCATTTCTGATCTTCGTGGTGTATTCATCCAGGCGATGGCCACCCCAGTACCTGGGCCTCCAGGGAATGCCGC